CCTCGGGTCCCGAGGCTCCACTGTCTCAATCATTACCCGCGTCCCGTCTGACTTCTTAATGGACAATGTTTGGCTCCCATCAGGTCGCTCTATCGTCACCACATGCACGTGGCTCAGCCACGTTCGACCCAAGAGCAGGTCGGAGCTGCAGTTCTTGACTGCAAAGACAGGCAGGATCACTCGTACCCCTTGGACCTCTATGGCTGCCTTGTGACAAACCCCAGTGATCTGTTGCTTTCTCCCATCAGCCGTCTCTATCTCGAATAGGTATGACCTATCGAGGCCCAGTCCAACTTGTACCGCCAGGTCCTCGTGTATGATGACAGTCTCATTGTCGTTATCAATCACAGCATCAAGTACCGCTCCATCGTTTATAATCGTCTCTACAGTCCCGCTACCAAGTATATAAAACTTTTCTGGTGGCACACCTTCCATCCCATCGAGAAGGGCTGTCGCCACGCGATCCGCTCTGGCTGTCACCCCCGTTACCGCTACTGTAGAAGCCTCCGCTTTAGGGGCTCCCTGACCCTCCTCTGATAGAGGTACGCGAGTCTTCCGCGTGATCATCTGTAATTCATCACGGGCCGGCTTCGATGCCGCCAGGTACTCCAGAATAGAGCACTGCATTGGTTGCCGAAGAGCCCGCCTCAGTGGCTCAACCGTGTCAATCTCGTCCAACGAACTCTTCATTAAGAACTTCTTCACCCCCCTCTTTCGTGGCGAAAGGATAACCTCCTCTCCATCGATCCGTTGCCCGTCCTTCTCCGTCATCACATAATCCGTGTCAGTCTTCTTCAATGTAGACCCTCTTGCTGACTTGGTGGCTGCCATCCTTATGGGTGTGGTCGCGATATCCCCCTCAAAGATTATCTTGATGCTCTGGCTCCTGACCGGCTCCATTCCTTTACTCGTCTTTATTCTCCTAGCTTCGACGTTCTCCTTCATCGAAGGAAACATCGATACATCTCCCAGATCATCTTCCCACTTGACGTACTTGCGGTCGTCAAGCACGACAAGCCCCTCATCTATTGCCCGTTTAAGGTCTGGGCTATTCCTCTTGATATGATCTTCTCCTCTACAATAGACGCATGAGTTCCTGGGAGTAGACGCCCTGTTGTCTGCGCCTCTAGACATCGAATTCCTGGCCGCGTTGGGGTCAGGCGACTTTGGATATGGTTCTGATGAGACACCATATCCCCCTCTTTCATTCCGACTGCGCGAATCGTTGCGCCGGTCTTCTCCAGACCCTCCTCGCTCATACTGCCCTCGCGAGTCATTCCGGCGGTCCCTCGAGTCATAGCGTCCTCGTGACTCATCGCGTCGGTCCCCTCGGTTGTGCCATCCTCGCGTCTCGTCGCGCTGCTTTCTCGCTTCTTCCCCACGCTCAAACCGTCCACGTGTCCCATCTTGTCGTTCCCAGTCCCGATCTCCTCTCTCATATCTACTTCCTCTGTAGCCATCTCGACCCGACCTCTCGTATCTGTCGTCCCTATATCCATCCCGGTCCGATCTCTCGTATCTGCCGCCCCTCTCCCATCGGCCGCGGGAGTCACCCCTACCCCATTCGGCCTCATAGCGAGGGCTTCGGGGGTAATCATCTAGCCTCCTTGCTCGCACAAATAGCTCGCGATCTCTGCGGTCTCGGTCTATCTCATCGTCCCTRCGTCGCCATAATTCATCGTCTCTATCCCTCACCCTCGTACGATAATTAATCAGCGTCCGAGGATTTCTATCCTCGACACTCCTCCAAGGATCATTGTTCCTACGGTCCCAGCGAAGTGAATAGGGCCCTCCAGGTTTGTCCCGGTAGGCCGTGACCCCTGTGGCGATCACAATCTCTGTAACCTGTCTCGTTAATCCCTTCACCATGTCCCGTATCTCCTTCACTTCCTCAGCCACGRCCTCATTCTTCTCCGACCAGGGATAATCCTTGAAATCAGGACATTTATCAGTGACATACTCCTTGTAGAGAGAGAAGTCACGTCTCCTCATCCCTCTCCACACCAAGTCCTGGTAATCGTCTGCCTCTGCCTTTATCGCGAGCTTTAGGACTTCAGGGAAATCAAGCCTGTCGCGCGGAAGATCTCTAAGTATACTCTTTTGCCTACCTTTGGACAAGTGTCCGATAAAGATAGTACAACGCTCGACCTCTGAGATCTTCCCCTTCTTCATCAGCACGTCGGAGATCTTTTGGAAACGCATCCCAAATGCCCGTACGCTCTCATCTTCATCTTGAGTCATTGTTTCAAGGTCCTTGATGGAATACTTGTTATCCTCCATTTTGTAAAGCTCAACAAGGCTCTTCTTGTACGTAGTCCATTTCCCATCCTTCGGTCGAGCTTCCTTAACTTCCCTACCGAGACTTGGGTCCACATTAAATAGGAAGTTCTCTATAATTTCTTCCTCCGACCACTGACTCCGGCTGGCATGAAGCTCCCACTTCTCCAGATATTCAGTGATACCATAACCCCTGAAGGTAGGAGGCTCTGAGACCTTGTGCGTAATAATATAGCGGTCCTTGCTCTCATAAGGAAGCGGATGTGACTCCCCTGTCTGGAGATCGAAGACCCGCCTGGGCGGCGCGCTGTCTCTATCTCTGTCCCTCCAACAGGAATCCCTCAAGCTCTCTCTCCAGTCGTCTCTGTGCCAATCTGCTATGGTGTCCCTCCGCTCGTACTTGGGGGAGCGTCGCCTCGTCGCATCTCGTCGTCCGCTCGAGGTACCCGTCTTTAGAGCCTCCTGCGGGTCTGTTGCAACTGATTCACCTCTCATGTCGGGACCTCCATCATTGGTTTGGTCAGCCCATCTCAGCGGTGCTTCTTGCCTAATTCGTTCCTTCAGATCCCTCACTGCTCGATCGGGCGATGCCCTGTACTCTTCTCCGGCTTCGCCCGTGGTCGGTTGTGGCCCCATCGTGTCGGGTTCCATTGGACCGCCAGAAGATGCAGTTAGGTATTCTAGCCAACTGTTACAGCCCGTTCCTATGACAGTCGCTGCAGCCCGGACCCGTGACAGTCGCGGCAGCCCAGACCTGTTTCTTTGTCACGACTCACGTCACGTCCGCCTCCAATCCTAGCCCTCCACTGCCTTGATTACCACCTCCAGTATCCCGTTCCGGTCGCAGATCTTGTGTTCTCTCTCTATCCCAAGAATCCCTGTATCTAAGTAACCTCTCCTTCGGGATCGGTCAACAAGGCCGTGCCTGTCCGGATCCACAATACGCCCGTGACTGGACCTCTATCCTTGAGACGGATTTCAATCCCTAACCTAGCAAATGTTTCCTGATCAACACTTCTCAAGAGTCCCTGAGCGTCTCTCTCCGTCCTCCTTGCTAAATCTCCTAGTCCAGTCTGTATCGGTTAGCCCGCTAAAGACCCTGTTACTGTCTCCCAAAGTCGCCGATCGACCTTTCTAGCTTTCTCTATCCTTCCAATAACTTCCAATTTCTATTTCCACTACCTTATGTCCTCAACAGTTACGAGGTCATCTGTCTAACAACTGAGGTAAGTTAGTGCTATAACGACTCGTAACCTCATCGCCGACCTCTCCAATATGTCATAAAATGTCTCAAAGTCCTCACTATCTCCTCCTTCGTCTATCGCCTCTAAAGTCTTCATCGTTTCCTTCCAGTACCGGTTGTGAGCGGCTAACACCCTGAGTATTGCACCATCTGTTACAACTCTCCCTAACTCTTCAGCTTTTCTGGCCTCACTTATCTTCAACCTCTCAGCCTCTCGGGTCGTCTCATACCATGCCCTTATCCAAGACCGCCCTTCGAAAGGTGTCCCTTGGAGTACGTATTTTATCCTCCGTCCTCCTTCTATTCCAATCCAAAGTCCTGTTCCCCTAGCCTCACGTAGCGCGCGGCGGACACACTCTGCCTCCTCAACTATGCACAGTCTGGTATGGAGCTGGAGCTCTATGATCACTAACACTAATGGTCCGTCCAGTCTCCCTACCACATGCAGTGAGTCCCGATCCGTCGTGTGTACTGCTGTCCCGCTCATGTCCTGTCGCTACTTCCCTGCGTTACTTTGTCTTCCGTTGTCTCGCTCTCTGCAGATCGCTCACTAGTTTCTTCGCGTGATACGCTTCTAGCCTTTACCCGCTCCAAAAATTCTGATCTCCACGCCTGGATAATCTCTCTTTCCTCCCTAAACAGACTCTCTAACTCTCTCGTCACGAGTTCAGCCCTAAGCAACTGACCCTCGTCTTGGCACGACCAGATCTCCCTTAACTTGTTCCCCAACTTCTTTACCTGGTTCAAGAGTGGTTCTTTAACGCGCTTTCTCACTCTTCCGACTGCCTCACTCTCCCCTTCCATACTCAGTCCACATCTTTCTCCAGCTCACCCTCTCACCCTCGCTCTAGCCTCCGCTACCGTCTCATCGTGGTAGTGCTCCGCGCGCATATAACCATGAGACCATATCATCACATCATAGGATATCGAGGTTTGGAAGGTCACTCGTGCCAGTACATCAGCTCTACGTTCGTGGATCAAATCCCTAGCTCGTTGTCTGCACTCACTCGCCGTCAAGTCCTCGTCTATGTACGCTCGGAGAAGTACTGTCATAGTGTATCCTGTGCTTACGAATTGCTCTTCTACACTCATCACCGTGGTCGTCCTTCCCGGCATTCCCTAAGTTGCGACCTCGAAGAGAAATCTCGCGTCCTCTAGTCCCGCATAATCGATCTCTGCCCGTCTCCTGCAGTGCCTAATCAGATCGTTAGGCCTCAGACAGTCCACCCAGCTCGTAACATCTATGATGTCGTCAAGCGTCTCTCTACTGGGCGGCCCCCACCTCACACAAATGGCGTAGTATACTTCCTTGAAGCGAGGCGCTAAGCCCTCCCAGAGCGCGTAAAGTGTGTGATCCACTGCTCTCCTCAAACGATCCACGCTCCCATAGGTCTGCCCTACCACGAAGGTAGGAACTCCGAACCGCCAATCCTTTCTTGGGTAGAGGGTCAGATGTGGTGGACCATATACCAAGCAACTCCTACTCGTCCTCTCTCCAGCGAGTCTCGCCAATTGCTGATTAACGATCACTCTGCCTAACAACTCGCTTCTCCACCAACTCCTGCTCGCCCCTGCGAGCGTTAGCCCTATCTCCAAATCGTGTGTTCTATCCGCTATTAGATGTCCGACCCCTTCTAGATCATGAGTCCTCTCGGGTCGTTCGTCTCGTAGTATCACTGTCCATAGGAAGAGCCCCTCTGCGAGCCTCGTTCCCAAGTATCGTATCGGTACTCGCCCTGCGTCTTCTAACGCCACAGGAAGTGGTATGTCGTATCCAACCGCCGTCTCTCTGGGTCCTACAAGCTTCCTCACACTATACGATTCGGACTCTCGTAAAAATACATAAGCTAACCAGGCCGCTGAATCACTCCTCATTTCTTCTCCTACTCTCCGTCAGCATTACTCTACTCCCTCCGATTCACCCCATCTCTCGACGCTACTAACCCTTCTGACAACTCTCGCACTCAGGTCCAGTATGGTCGAATAGGTTCAGTAACCAGGCTCACTCATCCGTCGCTCTGGCGCGCTCCTCTACCTCCTACGCCCGGACCGCTACTCCTATCCTGGGAAAATGGGCGTCGATAACGTCAATCTCCTCCTCGTCAACCTCACTCTCTGGGTCGACCCAGTCTGGTTCCCACCACTCCTCGTCGTCTTCTCGCTCCCAACCCTCGTCGTCAAACTCGTCCTCGACGCGGTATGGCGCCTGTCCTATGGCCTGGTAGTATTCCGTCAGCTGATGACCGTATATCAGAGGTTGCCCGGCGTCCTCACTCGACCAGCTCCCCGGTCGTCTGAGAAGAGCCGCCCGATGCAAGTCACGTACTCGGGGCCTGCTCGGAGCTCACGGTCTAGCCAATCCCAAACGCACGAAGACTGGGGCCACTCGTCGTCTATCGAGCGGATCAGCTCTATAAGCTGAATAAGCTGAACCCTCTCGTCTCCCCAACGAGGCCCACCAGTCGCGAGCGAATAATAGATATAGTCCAGGTCGGCAGGTCTTCTCGCCAGGATCTTGAGATCCTGATAAGCCAGGTATGTCTCGACCACTCCACCAATACCTCCAAAGACACTCTCTACTACGAACGTCGGAACTATCGCCCGCAGACTCCTAACGCTGTACGGAAAAAACCCGTCCCGTGCTATTACGAGCTCGCCCGTGATATCAAGAGGAGGGCGTGCGTGAAATAGGGTCAACGGGTCGCTCGCGTCCTCCGCTCGGAAAGCCGCTACCTCTTCCCCTAGGTAGCGTAACGCCCTGCTAACTSCRTYACTASTCCYTGTCGTCGCGAGGCCCACCACGGCCTCCTTGACCGCACCCGGTCCCAAATACAAGTAGGCTCTCACTACGCCTAATCCTTGTCCCGGCCGGTGCTCTCTGTACGTCCAAAGCCACACGTCCTCGGACAGGATTATGGACCTCCACGCAAACTGGCCGTCAGCGTGCCGAATGCTGCGTCCGGGGATCGTGAGCTCGACCAGATCCCCCTCTATGAGTTGAGGGGGTTCCAAGTCTCAGTCAATGGTAGCCCCATAAACCTCTACTTGCACCCGGGGCCACATTCAACTGGCGGCTAAAGAGAACGCAGCAAGCGGAGGGTGTAGATTAATAACTGAAAATTTGCGTCGCTTACCTCACGCCTTCGAGAACAAGCTAGTAGGTTCTTCTGAAACCAGGTTACCGCAACGTTTCTTTTCCTTCTCCTTCTAGGGAATTCTCTTGTATATATATATATATATATTTTTAATTATAAATTATAAAAAATGTATTTACCTAAGACAAATTTTCTTTCTTAGTTTATATATATTAAGGATTAATACTTATATAAGCCCGTCGAGTTTTGACGCTTTTTTTTTAGGGGTAGAAATAGTATTTTTGAGATTTTACTAAAATTTCGGCAGCGTTTCGCCTCCCCCCGTTGGTAATCGGGTTTGGGACTATTGTCCCTAGACAAATGCTACCTACCCAGAACTAAGCCAAATGAAACAAGAGGAAAATCGCTTAAGGGAACAAATTTTTAACGTATTTTTAATTAATTTCCCTAATCGCTTTCAATATATATATATATATATATATATATATATATATATATATATAAATTAATAATTTAAATTAGGCAATTTTACGATGTTTCGGCTACATTTTGGCTCCCCCCCCGTTGGGGTAGGGTTTGGCCGAAGACCTCAAAATGCGGGCGAAAGATGTTTAACAAGAAAGATTAAGTATCTCAATTTTTAGCTAATTTTCAAGTATTTCCTTTAATTATTTAAGATTTAATTGAATAAAATTCATCAAATTGCCGAGTAATTTCGGCAGCACTTGGCTTCCCCCCCGTTGGGATGGGGTTAAGCGAAGTATCTCCCGAATCACAAGGTCGAAATAAAGTCGGCTTTCTTGTAGAATTTTAGATAATTACTTTGATTTTTAATTGATTTTAAATGATAAATTATTACTTAAAACAAACTTACAACTAAAATTATTTAATAAAACAAAATTTCCAATATTGATTACTTTCAATTTAGTCAACTGGATTTATACAAAATTTTCCCATCACCGGTCGGATAGAAAGACTTGTATCCGCCCGGCTACGCACCGCCCTTCCCTAACTTAGGGTTAGGGTTTTACCCTAATTAGGGTTTCCCCCAATTAGGATTCTAGGGTTTTACGCGCCACCGCACGCCACCACGTCCGACTTCTAGAGACAGAAAATTTTCCGTCGGTTTGCAGTCAGTTAAAAACCGGGTTCTAACGGATCACTTTTGCCGGCTTCTGTTTCCCTTTAATTTTTTCAAAAATAGAAAGAAAATCACTAATTCCTCATATTTTCCCTCTCTTTTCCTGTCTGTTGGCGGTCACCACTCGTCCAAACGGAGTCCGTTTTCCCCGATTAAGATCTCAAAATGTCGGGAAAAATCCAAAGACCAACTTTGGTCAGGGCGGGGTTCACCTAATTTCGCTTCTTTTCTTCGTAATTAAAATAAAAGGAAATTGATGATTTTCGGAATTTTAATTAGAAAAATACAAAAAAATTCATATCCCCTTTTCTAGCCGTTAGAATTTCTCAAAAAATATCTCAAAACGTTCGCCTCAACGAGAGGTCGAACTTTGCTCCCGGTGCGCCTCGCGCAAAAACGCGCGGATCGGGAGATATCGAAAAAAAACGAATTAAATATTTAAACT